ATGACTCAATATCCAGGCACAGAACATGAACTATTTCACAGATGTGAGTTGGCTTGTTTCAATATACAAATAATTAATATCATTCAGGGTATACAAAAATAAATTGCTACCTCCCTTTGTATTTTAAGGTACAGTATAATCAAATAACTTTGATCTAAAATAAAACATTGTCATGTTTTAGAACCGAATGCAAAGAGTCAGAGAATAAACGATGTATTCAAGAAAAACTCAAAAATCTTGTTTTGTATTGAACTGTTACTAATATAAAAAATATTTCCCTTCACAATTAAAATGCAAAGCAAATTAAATATTTAAGTGTTAGGTCATCACAAGTTCTAAACGTTTTAAGTGTCAATTACTACATGGATCATTAAAATTTTCATTATTGAAATTCATCTTCAGCATGGTTCAGGGTAAAGGGTGTATTATAATGCAGACTTACCATAATTCTTTGCCTCCTTTCGACAAATGAGCATGGGGATTTTATTGGTAGAACAGATGATAGTTGCAAGAGGTAAGGCAGTGTATGGAACTCCACAAACAGAATTGCATTTGATTCCAGCATTCTGAGCAGTTTTCCACAGGAGATCAGAAACCTAGAAGAAGAAAAAAGTCAGAGTCATACAGCACAAAAACAGACCCTTTGGTCCAACCAGTCCATGCCGAACATAATCCCAAACTAAACTAGTCAGTCCTACCTGGTCCTGGCCCATATCCCTCCAAACCATTCCTATTAACGTACCCATCCAAATATCTTCTAAACATTGTAATTGGACCAACATTCAGCACTTCCTCAGGAAGTTCATTCCACACATGAACCACCCCTTGTGTAAAAGAAATTTGCCCTTCATGTCTTTTTTAAAATCTCTATTCTCTCACCTTAAAAATGTGTCCCCTCAATTTGAAATCCCTTATCGTAGGGAAAGATACCTCCCATTAACTCTCTATACCTCACATTATTTCATGAACTTTCATAATCAGGTCACCTCTCAACTTCCTACACTTCAGTGAAAGAAGTCCCAGCTTATCCAGTCTTTCTTTATAACTCAAACTTTTGGGGCAGCATGGTGGCAGCACTGCTGCCTTACAACACCAGAAACCGGGTTCAATTCCAGCCTCTGGCAACTGTCTGTGTGGAGTTTGCACGTTCTCCCCATGTCTGCGTGGGTTTCCTCCTATTCCTCCCACAGTCCAAAGATGTGCAGTCTAGGTGGATTGGCCATGCTAAATTGTTTGTAGCATCCAGGGAAGTGTACATTAGGTGGGTTATGGGGGATGCGTCTGGGTGGGATGTTCCGAGGCTCAGCGTGGATTTGTTGGGCCAAAGGGCCTGTTTCCACACTGTAGGGATTTTATGATATTCCACACCCAACAACATCCTGATAAATCTCTTCTGAATCCCCTCCAGTTTGATAACATCTTTCCTTTAACAGGGTGACCAGAACTGGACACAGTATTCCAGAACAGGCCTCACCAATGTCCTGTACAACCTCAACATGACTTCCCAATTCCTACACTCAAAGGACTGCGCAATGAAGGCAAGCGTGCGAAACACCTTTTTAAACATCCCGTCTATACGTAATGCAAACTTCAAAGAATTATGTACCTGCACCCCTAGGTCCCTTTGTTCCACAACACCACCCAAGGCCCTATCTTTAACTGTATAATAGTTATAGTCCTAAGTCCTAACCTCGTTTGTTGTACTAAAATGCAATACCTCGCATTTATCCATCAACTATAATTACTAAGTTGACAGACTTTTGGAAGCCAAATTAACATTTTTAGCAAGGCCACACCATATATACTCCTTCGTGATTATTGCAAGCAAACGTCAAACTTGTGGACGACCCCAAAATAGGATACAGGACGATTTATTTTATTCATTAACAGCATGTGGCAGAAGTTTGTTCGCAGTACCAAAGCATCATTGAGCTTGAAGCAGTAACTGTTTCTCACTCCACAGATACTACCGAACCTGTTAAGTTTACTATTTTATATCTCCAGTATCTTTATGACAAAAAGTTGGCAAATACAATTCTTTCCACTTTGTCCCTGCTGACGATAACCAGCCCAACCGCCACTGAAACACACCGCTGGCTCTGAGCTGCTTCGGGCCTAAACTAAATCAACAACATGGAAATGATACCTGGTTCAGCAGCGTCGGATGGGACACAATAACCCTCAAATCGAAGTAAACAGGCGACGATATGCCGCTTTTTAAAACGAAGCTCCCAAACTTCACCGCCTGAACTTGAAACAGCTCCGACGCCAACGACTCCATGCTCTCCGCGCCTAGATCAGCCAGTGCGCCTGCGCGCCCAAACCGGGCGGCCCGCCAGTGCACCTGCGCGCCCAAACTGGCCAGTCTCTCAGTGCGCTTGCGCGCCCCAGTCCTGGCAGTTTTCCACTTTAAGTCTTCAATGCATTATTTGCTTGTCCAGTATTTGCCTTACTCATTGCTTCTGTGCATCATTCCACGGAGCTGCTCTCTCATATCTTTTAATTTTACAGCGGCTTGGTTTAATTCAGTCAGTTGAATGTGGTCTGCAATGCAGAGTGACACCAACAGTGTGGGTTCAATTCCCACACCAGTGAGGTGACCATAAAAGACTCTCCTTCTGAACATCACCCCTCACTGAGGCATGGTGACTTCCAGCTTAAACCATCACCGAAAACATTTTCTGATGAAGGGTCTAGGCCCGAAATGTCGGCCTTCCTCTTCCTATGATGCTGCTTGGCCATCTGTGTTCATCCAGCCCTGCACCTTGTTATCATCGAAAACATGACTTCCTGGAAAAAGCTCAGCAGGTCTGGCAGCATCTGTGGAGAGAAATCAGAGTTAACGTTCCGGGTCACGTGACCCTTCGTCAGAACGTTAACTCTGATTTCTCTCCACAGATGCTGCCAGACCTGCTTAGCATTTGCAGTAATTTCCGGTTTCGTGTCAAACTTAAAGCATCTGCAGTTGTTTTGGAGATAGTAGGAACTGCAGATGCTGGAGAATCTGAGATAACAAGGTGTAGGGCTGGATGAACACAGCAGGCCGAGCAGGATATGATGCTACTTGGCCTGCTGTGTTCATCCAGCTCTACACCTTGTTATCTGCAGTTGTTTTGATTTTTTTTCAAACCACCACCAGATGTATCTGTCCTGGGAGAGCAGCCCTGGGACTGTGGTGACTTCACCTGCTTCTATACAGTACCTTGATTGGTTAAGTGCCAATTAGGTTAGAACTCAAATATGAAAACAACACAGTCGGGGTTCACCCTAGTTGCAGTTTTATTCTTGAAATTAATTTATAAGTTTCACTATATGCAATGTATATTTGCCATATATTCTAACCAAATATGTGAAAACACCCACCAAAGAACCACATAACAGGAATTGAACTACAGGAGAAAGATGTAAAAGTGGGTGAACATCTAAGCAGTGGTGACCATTACATAGCAGTTTTTCAAATGAAGATAGATAAGGATATAAGTATGACAAAAACCACATTAATAAAAAGGAGAAGAACTGATATTTTGGAAATGCGAATAGAACTTGAGAAAATAAAATGGCACTAAATTGGCAATCATTGAAATAGAACAACAATTTGAAATATTTAAAATAATATTTAACAGAATACACAAAAAACACATTCCATTAAAAGGAAGAATAGGCTCCCCTGGTATCCTTCCCATGATAGTGGCCCCCATTGTCCCTCTCCCCTCCAGCCCACTTTCCTTTAGATTCTATTGATGGAGCTGATAGTGGCTATCCACTTCAGTAACCTAATCGGACAGCCCCAGATGAAAAGTCCCAGACCCCTGAGAGATAGCTATGTATCTTCCTGATTGTTCTAACCTTACCTCTGGACTGGCCACTTTGGAGCCAAAAGGCTGTAAGTGACTCACTGTCCTGACTGCGAAGGAATGAACTCCCCGAATGAGAACATGACTGAGTGTGACCGATTTCCTAGACTCATATTGGAATCTGTCCTTAATGTACAGTTTTAGGACCCCCTGAATCATGGATGCCTCCATGGACTTCAGTGAGGATTAGTCCGCTTAAAGTGCGAGACATGGCCACTTGCTTGCTGCATATACAGTGTGTTTGCTGCATAAGATGTGGCACACAGTGCAGATGTGAGATTGATTTAGCATGCTGCAACACAATATGATGTCAACCCCTTCGACTGAGAACTGCTGAGTGGGAGGGCAAGCTGCCTGAGGAGAAGGGTCCCAACCAGAAACGTCAACTTTCCTGCTCCTCTGATGCTGCCTGGCCTGCTGTGTTCCTCCAGCTCCATATGGTGTTATCTCTGACTCCAGCATCTGCAGTTCTTACCATCTCTGAGGAACTGTGTAGGGTAGCTTCGGACTGACAGTGCTTTTCCGGGTGATCAGCCAGCTTTTTAAAACAGCACAAGAGAAAGGAATCATAGAATCCCTACAGTGTGGAAACAGGCCCTTCAGCCCAACAAGTTCACACTGATCCTTGGAGCATCCCCCCCAGACCCATCCAATCTACAGACCCCTGAACACCATGGGCAATTTAGCTTAGCCAATCCACTTAACCTGCACATCTTTGGACTGTGGAGGAAACCAGAGTACCCAGAGGAAACCCACACAGACATGGGGAGAATGTGCAAACTCCACACAGACAGTCACCCAAGGGTGGAATTGAACCCGGGTCCCTGGCACTCTGGGGCAGCAGTGCTAACCACTGAGCCACCGTGCCACCCTAAATGCTGATAAATTCCAGGATATTTGGTGAGCAGAAACTGTTTCACAATGGTGTATGATGAGATAGGGCTGGAATTGGATGTAAGAGACACCATAGCGAGGTGGTAGTAATTATTGTGGAGCATTTGGTAAGGAATGGCGAAAGAACTTGTTAGGACTCACTGTTTAAACTTCCCAAAAACATCAATGCAACATGGACTTAGTCAAATAAGAATCAGCCCAATATACCTAATAAAGTAACAATTTTTTTATTGATTTAAGCAAAATGTCTGTATATAATGATATTTTGTGCCTGAAGCATTTTCTTTTAACGAAATTAAGGATAACACAACAGTACAGAATGGCTGAAATAACACACTGATCAAACCTTTTGTTCAACCAATCCATACGTCGTTTCAGGTAACTAGCTATAACTGTTTAATATAAGTTGACAATTACATCATTTGTCTATTTATCCACATGTATTATATACACATATAATAGCAAAGCCGTGTACAAGTATGTTTATATATTGATTTATTAACAACAGCAGTTTAATTATGGAATGCTGGAAGATATTTTGACATGTTGAAATTTGTAATTAACAAAACATTAATTGTCTTAATGACAACCATAGCACCGAATACTTCTTATATTAAAATTGTAAAATAATAATTAAAATTCACCCAAACGGTTTTCAGAAGTATTCATTGTGGTACATGCAAGAACTCCGATAGCAATCAATTCATCAATGTTATTATCACTACATCAAACTCAAAACAGTCTCATTTGTTGTCACAAAGAGTGATCAGCTGTGTGAGGATGGCTGCCTGGAATATTACAACTTCTGTAACTTCCCCATAAATGGTGGTTACATTTGACCCTCTTCACACAGAGCGCATTGGAGTTTCCACTCCACCAAATCTACAGCCAACAAAAAAAAAGGGACCTATTCAATGCAGTATGGAATAGTGAAAATTATGCTGTGACAGGCCGTTACAATCATAACTGTGTATTCTTTGTAGCTTGTGATTACTCAGTCAGACCACTGGATGGCACTTTAGTTATATTTGTAGATCAAAAAAAACATTTTACCACCTCATTCCCAATGAAAACAGCTGAGTACCAGTAAGCTGAATCAGATGTGCAGTAACCTCGTGGGACTCCAACAAAGGTATTACAAGTGCAATTCCAGCTATCCCTAGCCACTCAAATGTAATGTTATGAGAATAAATTGGAAATGCAGCACTGTAAACTTTTAATAGATAATGATTCTACTTTGGTGTCTACTTTTAAAAGGACTCCTAATAGAGCAGATCTTGATCAAGATGTAACAACCTCAGTTTTGTAAGTGAATAATAGCTATTTTCCCGTGGGTGCATAACTGAATAACAACTAATATTTTTCCCCTTAATTTCACCCACCCAAATCTCACCCTTATCATTTATTCTTTCATGGGATGTAGGCATCTTTGGCTGGGCCAGCAATTATTACCCATCCCTAGTTGCCCTTGAGAAAATGGTGGTGAGCTGAATTCCTGAACTGCTGCAATCCTTTTGGTGTAGGTACTTACATGTTTCTGTTCTGGTGGCTTTTCTTACACTTTCTCATTCTTCTCACCTCACTCCATCTTATCCCTCCCTTACTTGACTGGGAACAATTACAGTTCTGCCCTCTAATACTGCTTAATCTGATTATTACATTGGTTGCAATGTATTACATTACTTTGCAATGCCATAGAAGATCAATCATCTTTTTGTTAACATCTGTGTATCACTGTCTACAATAAGAGGGGAATTAAACATTAAAGAATATATATGTTAGCAAAATACTGTTTTTATTCACTCATGTGATGTGAGCTGGGCCAGCGTTCATTTCCCATACCTAGATGCCCTTGAAAAGGTGACGGTGAGCGATCTTCTTAAACCACTGCAATCATTTGGCATAGGTAGACCCACAATGGAAATAAGGAGGGAATTCCAGGATTTGACCCAAAGACAGCGAAGGAATGGCAATACATTTCCAAGTATGAATGGTGAAGGCTTGGAGGGGAACGTGCAGGTACCAGTGTTTCTGTGTAACTGCTGCCCTTGTACTTATTGATGGTAGTGTCCATGAGTTTAGAAAGTGCTGTTTAAGCAGCCTTGGTGAATTTTGCAGTACATTTTGTAGATAGCTGCTTATTGAGTGGCAGTGGTAAAAGGAATTGAATGTTTGTGAGTGTGGTGCCAATCAAGTGGGCTGCTTTGTCCTGGATGGTGTTAAGCTTCTTAAGTTTTTTGGAGCTATAGCCATCCAGGCAAGAGGGGATTATTCAATCAATTTGGAGTAACCTGCAACTAACTGAATGCATCATTCAGGAAAATCCAGCCCCCAGGTCCATGCCATCTTAATTAGTGATATTTATTATATATTCAATAGACTATGCAAAGAACTGAATCAATGATTTACAATGAATTGTAAATCATTGAAAGTGAATGACTGTATTGTTAAAATTGTTTCATAATTTAGTTCAGGTACTCTATTAATCATAGACTTAATAAGAGTATCACTTGTCTGATGGCTGGTTATGTTTAGCTTAATAAATGATACTAGTATGGGGACAATGTTTACCATATTTTAATTATTGATATGTGATATGTTTTCAGTATGAAGTTAAGTTGAAGGGCTTCCTTGCTATTTGCAGGTCCCTTGTATTGCTCATTTTGGCTCCATGCTGTTATTACTCATTGCAGCCTGTAGTCTCATTGGCAGTATCTGGCCCAGGGGCGGGTTGGGACAGTCTTCTTGTTTCTGTCCTGCTTCTGAAAAATTGGGGACCAAGTTCCTTCTTCTGGTAATCAATTGGTGATTGTAAGGCTGAAATGAAAATTAATACATTATAGTGAAAGGACTGTGATAATCAAAGAATGTGACAAAAAGTTGGTTGGCAACGATGTTAACGAAAATAAAAAAATCAATTGACCCTTGATTCCTACAATTCTGATCATACAAATTATAGCCTTAGAAAGATAACTTTTTGAATAGCAGAACATGGGGCTTACAGATTACTCCTGCTCCTAATTCCTAACTCCTAACTAAGGCTATTGCAATATATCCAACAATTATTTACATTATTAACACAGTGTGGAGCTGGAGGAACACAGCAGGCCAAGCAGCATCAGAGGAG